CTTCAAGTCCTACAATTTGAAGGAGAGAGAGAGAGTATAAGGTTATTCAAGTCCTACAATTTGAAAGAGAGAGAGAGAGAGAGAGCTGTTTTCTAGGGCCAGGGGACTGCAATTGTGGTAATGAGAGAGTTCCATTAACTAAGGGTAGTTCAAGTCCTACAATTTGAAGGGGAGAGAGAGAGTCCTACGATTTGAAGGGGAGAGAGAGAGAGATGGTCCTTCAAGTCCTACAATTTGAAGGAGAGAGAGAGTATACGGGTTCTTCAACTCCTACAATTTGAAAGAGAGTGAGAAAGAGACCTGTTTTCTAAGGCCAGGGGAATGCAATTGTGGTAACGAGAGAGTTCCATTGACTAAGGGTTCAAGTCCTACAATTTGAAGGAGAGAGAGAGTCCTACGATTTGAAGGGGAGAGAGAAATATCCTCTTGGTGTTAGGGGCGTAATGGTCATGTGTTTTCTGTGTGTGTGTGAGAGAGAGAGAGAGAGGTCTCTTGGTGTGAGGAGTGTGATGGCGATCTTGTTGAGATTTGAGAGAGAAAGAGACCCTCAAGCCCACAGAAGCAAAGCAAAAAAATAAAGAAATATCACAGGCGTTTTTCAAGAAGAAAAATAAGTTACAAATGGGAGAAATAGCATTTCCTTTTACCAAATAAAACTGTTTAATTGTGAATCAAAACATAATGCAATGGGCAATGAGCAATGGAATGAAGGTATGTATGTATGGTATCACACACTATTTTTATCATCTTCTTAAATAGTACAACTTGGTATCCCTGTAACCCAACCAAATCTCTCTCTCTCTCTCTCTCTCTCTCTCTCTCTCTCTCTTCCAACTCCCACACAACAAGACCCCCCTCCTCTTCTCTCTCTCTCTCTCTAGACCCATATCAATTCTCTCTCTTCCATCTTCTTCCCAAAGCTCACATTAACACACTCCCTCCCCCCTCTTTCTCTCTCAACACCACAAGATGGATCTCTCTCTCTCTCTCTCCATTAAAAGAAACTCAACCCTCCAATTCCCTATACAGGAGAATAAAAGAAAACCAAACCCCCAAAACCCAAATGAGAAAACACCCAACAAAGACACAGATATAAGGATGAGAAGAAGAGAGAAAGGATAATCCCGGCTTTCTCTTTCTCTTTTCTTCATCCTTATCTCTTTCTCTCTCTACAAACTCAACCCTCACTCACCTCTCTCCCCCTCCCTCTCCTCCATCGCCATCGCCTGCGACACTGCTGCCAGCTTCTGCAGATTCAGCCTCACGACCGTGTCGGCGAACAGCCGTGTGTCCTCCTCCGTGTTCCCCTCCGGCACGTCCACCACATACGATTCAAGGACCACCGTCCAGATCCCGCCGTGTCTCCCGTCCCCAAACTCGTTAACCGTCGTCACCGACCGGTAATTCCTCAGCCGGTGCTCGCCCCCCACTATGGTGAAACCGGTGACACGCCGGTCGTCGTCCAGTATGTCGAGCCGCTCCGTGCTAGCAGTGGCCGGTAACCCCGAGATCACAGTGACCTCCCTGAGGCAGCCTACCGTCATATCCTGGCTGCCGGATGCACTCATGGCCGGATCCTGGCCGCCATGACTCAGGAGGCGGCAGCTCTTGATGAAGTGCTTGTACACCAACGGCCGCTCGAACCGCCGCACGATCGACCACACGACCTGTGCGGACGCCGACATGCGCTGCACCATGAGGGAGGAGCACTTGCCAGGGACATTTCGGTAATTATGAAATTCTTCTATCACTTGGCCCAGGACCTGATACTCCTCCCCACTCAGCCCAAATGGGATCTCTCCACTTTCTCTCTCTATTTGTGCTCCTCTTTCTCTCTCTACTCTGCCTTCTTCTCTCTCTTCTTCTGCCTCTCTTCTTGGGGTGGGATCATCCATGGCTTGGCTGGAGGCAGAGAGAGAGACAGAGAAAAGAAGGGAGGGATAAATAAGGGTGGGCAAGAAATAAAATAAGAATTGGTGGGCCATTAAAATAAGGTGGGAATGAGATATAAATTTAAATTAAAAAAAATGCTTCCATACTTCATAACTCATCGTACAGAATTACAAGGGAATACTTTTGCATGGATCATCTCAACTTCAACATTATTATGGTTGGAAAATAAAATAAAATTTTAAGCTCTAAAAATAGTATCTATTGCATTGTATTATCTTGACGGTTTATTTTACCTAAAAAATAAAAGTTTATGGATTTATAAGATCTGTATCTGTTTTTTAGTTTCAAATTTTATTATCAATGATAAAAATTGATTTTTAAAGCCATCATAAAAAATTTTATCATTAAAAGGACCGTCCAAACAAGGACTTAAGACTGCGTTATTTTGTTTTCATAAAGTTTGGGCGTGATCAAAACTTCTAGTGATAAGGAAATGTGGATGGAGAGGGTAATTATGATATAAAGGGAATTTGTTTGGAAAGAGAAAGGATCTTTACTATATCGAAAGAGGTTCGAGCTTATATTAAATTATTGTTTTGTCAACAAAAAAAAGCTTATGTTAAATTATTAAGATTTGTTTGTAATGGTACGTTTTGTCCAAGGGCTAGTTGGGAAGAAGCGCCCTTGAAAATTTACTAAATAGCGGAACTACCCATTCCCCCACCTAGTGTACAATATTTGGAAGAGATTTTACAATGGGAAAGACTTGTGCAGAAGATCTGCTCAAAAACTTCGGAAAAGAGGGATTTATGATGATATTTTGTACATCTTTCAATAAAAATAAAATAAAAAAATTTAAAATTTGATTTATTTATTTTTAAATAATTCAGTGAGAAAGATAGAGCTATTTTTTAAGAGTTAGTTTTTTGGAAGTCCTAGATTCACTGTCCACTAAGTAGACGGGTATGTTTACCAAAACTAACCAATATATTTCCGTTATTTTTCTATGAATTTACTTTTATTTTATTTATTATGATAAGATCTACATATGTGCAAAATTCGATTCCATCAAAACCCAATTTTTAATATGACTTATGCTACTGTATAAGTTTGTTCGTACATATATATATATGAAAAACTATACAATAAAACCATTTACCTTTGGTATGAGATTACAAAACAATCACTTTTTAACCACTAAATATGAAACCAGCTAAGGGTGAACAATTAATTGGGGAAAAAATAAAATAAAATATTTCAAATTTTGTCACACAGAGTTCTCGTAAGATTTCACATATAATAGTTAAAAATAATTATGATTTCCTTGTTCATCTTTCGTGGGTAATTTGACTTTTTTATTTTATTTTTTGTTTGGGATCTTAAGTTTTCTAACTTAAAAGATTGTGGCATTGACAAAAGGAAATGTATACAGCACAACTATTTATTTTTTATAGAGTGATGGTCCTATAGGACCCTCCTGCATTCATGTGTGTAGGACCCCAAATGATCATCATTAAAGTTGACACGTATCTCTAAAAAAATTATCACATGGGTGAAAGACTTGACTTTTTTATAAATCCATGTCAAATTTAATGGTGATCATTTGAGGTCATATGCACATGGGTGGGTGGGAGAGGATCTTTCTTTTCTATGTAAGAATATTATATTAATTATTAATCGTTAGGTGTAAAATTAGTTGGTTGGGGATGTGTTAATGATTGTGAACAAAGTCCAAAATAAAATTTCTTAGATATTATATATATTTTTTATCTTTTAAATTTTACATCTAATAGCTAAGAATGACTGTGACATATTTACACAAATGGCCACATAGCATAAAAAAAATATTTGCTCCCATATAATTATGTAACTTTCACAAATGTGAAGGGATACTTTTGTAATTTATGCACAAAAAAGGGATTATTACTTCTGTATATAAACCTTAAGAAAATGATTAATAAAAAATGATTAATTATCCTTGGTATTTATTTGTTATTCCTTTATGATTGGAGCTTTAGTGACAGATGATGTGTTCATGTGTTGTTTGATAACCTTTGACATGACTCTTCCCCACCCATGCCCAGTATTAGGAGCCGAGTAATTCAGGTACTCATTAAAAAAATCGGCTATGTGAAACCAAAAGATTTAAAATTTTAAATCTTTACAGTTTGAAGACCTAATGGCATTTTGTTGGACTAAGTATTTGAAAAATCACATCTGGATAAGGAATCGCTCTATTCAGACTGAGAATCAGTTGGAACTAAATTGATTCCGAAAAAGAATCGGTACTGGCTCGATCCCCCCACTAAATCTCTGTATATTGTAATTTTTTATAAAAATATTAATACAGTACAGTGGTTTAAAAAGCAGATCGGTGACTCGGATTAACGAGTCGACGATCCGGATCGGGAATCGGCTGAATAGGTCGGATTAAATCTTAAAAAAAATCGGAAAAAATTATTGAAATTCATTATAAATGTTATTTTTTAAGAATTCAATAAGAAATGAGGGTACTCCATTAAGAATTTTCATTTCTTTGTATGAATATGCGAAGATTGATATGTTTTTTCCTTGCATGAACTACTATTTACCATTTAATTTCCATCACACAAAAGGATAAACATAGAATTATCATGAATTAAGTATATTATCATACATGAACTACAATAAAGCATACAATTCGTAACATACGATCTAAAAATAAAATTACAGACGACGTCGTTTTTCATCTTGGTCACGCTGATGCCATTGATTGAATTCGCGTGACAATTCATTGACTCAATCTAAAAACGAATCATCCAAATTAGTGGGCACCTAACTATACCCAAATCATTGAGTGTTAGTGTTTTGTTGTGGTCCTAATGTAAAATCTCCGAAGCTTGTCCATCCTTCATGCTCACCTACACTATCGTGTTCATCCGACCCTCTTGTTGTTGGAGTTCAATATGTGAATAATTTGGCTGGGATTGGGTGGCCTCAGAATCATCATCTCTCTCATTTTCCCTTAGACCCCCTTCTCACTCTCCCTCATTTGGTACAATATCACCAACATCTCCGACGAATTGTGGATACGTTGGCGGGCTGTTTCCTCTTTTATGCTGCTCATCACCTTCTTCAAGGTCTTCCTCCTCGATAGCCTCAAGGAACTCTCTCTTGTGCAACACTGGCTCTTCTTCTTCTACTACCCATTGTTCTGTTGTGTCTATGACAAATATTTGTCCAAGTCTATCGGCCCAGAGTCTTCAAGCTTCCTCTTATTTGTCACTCTCATAGGTTTAAGTTGTAATGAATGTAGACTAGTTTATGAAGCTTCTCCGACGCGAGTCGATTCTTTCTAGTAGTGTGCAACTATAGGTTTAAGTTGTAATGAATGTAGACTAGTTTATGAAGCTTCTCCGACGCGAGTCGATTCTTTCTAGTAGTGTGCAACTATTGGAACGTACTCCAGTTTTGCTCACAGCCAGAAGCAGAACATGTCTGGGAGAGCACCTTGATTGCTATCCTCTTTAGGTGAGATACATCACTACCATATATCTCCCACCATTCAGCTGGATTAAAATGTAAAAAGCATTGTAAGGGCAATAACAATTCATAAGATTAAATATATGAATGAACAAAATATTAGTTAGGGGATAACCTGGATCCATCTTAGTTCGAGAATTCCTGACAAGTCTAGTTCCGAATGATCCTATAGCATCCCTATACATAGCAAGCTAAAACAAAATATTTCGTTTTAGTACACTATTCTTCACAAATATAACAACTCAATCAAGTTCTTACCGAAATATTAAATAATACCTCTTGTATTGCTGCAACCTGGTTTCGATGGCTTCTCTCCAACCTGGCAATAATGTATCTGACCCCTTCCATAATCTTGTGGAGATGTTCAAGTGTCAAATAGAAAAATTTTGGGTTGAAGTCGTAACTTGGAAATTATATAGATAGAGAAATGTTATATAAAATTTCATAAAAAAATAATTTAGAATGAAACATTCTAATGATATAAATATATATTTACCTACGTAATGAATTGAACGTCTAAATTTGGTGTTCCATCTTCTTTCTATAATCTCGATCACTTTATTATGAAAACTACACTTCTCCCCAATAGCTCATTGACCCTCTCGATACCTTCATAAAGGATGCCCATGGTAGCTTTCTTGTCAGCATTCATCATTCTTAAGACTGTGACCAAAGGGGCAGTGGCCTCTATGATACTAGAACTTCGAGACTTGAACATCCTATTTGAGACTATGCCGTCTACTTTTAGCCCGGTACTGGACTTTGAGAGGCGGTCATTTAACCACTCTTCACTGGTAAACAATATCTTTATTACACATTCAGATTTCCTAATGGAGTCCACAACCAAGTAATCTATCGCAAAGCAGGTTATGTCAGGCCTGATTATCATTTTTTTCTTAGACTGTTCTCTGAATAGAAATAAAATTTTAGAATGGTAATATATAAATCTTGACACCAACCTCGCTTCTTGTAGAGTCTCCTTCACAATTTTAACTTCACCAATCTCCTGTAACATCAGATCGATGCTGTGTGCAGCACACGTGGTCCATACCAGATGCTTCCTCTTATCCATCAACTTGCGGCCCGTAGAAACACATGCACGTACATTGTCCGTAATAAAGTGGACTACATGCTTATCTCCCATCTCCTCCACTATCTGATCATATAGCCGTATGTAGAAGTTTGCATCTTTCATCATCCTTGATACGTCTTTTCTAGACAAAAAAGCTATATACCTTTTGGGGAATAGGCCAAGAAGTTTACAAACTTCTTTTTGCTAATTTTATTCAACCAACCAACACTCATGAGAGTAATGCATGTTCTTGGCCAACTCTGTTTATATTCTTCAATCCACTTTCTATCTTCCTCCACCTCTTCATCCAATATTGGCCCACTGAGCTCATATGTCGTCGAGGGTTTTACCCCGGGCCTAGCTCTTTAGATTGCGTTGACCATAGGTGAAAAATATGGGTTATTGGCTGCATCAAAGGGGATCTCTTTATCGTAGAACCATTTTCCTATATATCTGCCCAATATATTTCTCGTACCTTTCACCATGCCTTTGAGGGTCATCTGTTCTGACTTAAGTTTTGAGAGAAATGAGTCTATACGACCATGACCTACAATACTGACACTCTTATGTAAGCTAAAAATAATTTCTTCATCGTC